TATATATATATATATATCACATGGCTGAAGCCAGACTGTATACCAAACAAATCATGGTACAATAATCCTTATGAAAAAGAAAATCGTTCCATGATTTACATGTGGGCTGAATACTTTCAGGTTGCCCAGGCCAATGGAGGTGAATTTTCTTGGGGAATCCACAACCGGAGCCTTCGGCTAGCCAAAGCCTGACTCGCAAGGTAGCAGGGCGATGCGTGAAAACCGCAATCGATTGGGAGCCGGTGTCCAGTTCATCAGATCATACACCCTTCGGACGGAGTCAAACGTCCAAGGTGCCCAATACCTCTCGATACCCAATCGAGCAAGCGGCCACTACCACAACAGGGAAGGTGTGGGTGTGGTTCGTACGCCTCTTCTTGGTTGGTTTGAAATCAGGGTTTTTAGTCACCTCCCCTAGGTGAACTACCAGTGGTCCACCAACCCGAATATCGGCTTTTCGCCCTCTCACTTTGGTGGAAAAACAACACTGCAACACGAGAAGGCCGTGAGTAGGGCTTCCTCAGTAGAGGCTATTTGAGACGCTTGGTCGTGTGGGAGCATTTCGCGAAGTGCAAGGGAAGAGTGACCAGCCGCCACCCTAGACACCCACCCCCGGCCATACTGAGGCTTTCGGAGGCTTAAAGCATTCAACTTGATTGTTGTTGGTTCCTTCTCCGGTAATGGTCCATCTTATGCACGAAATTCTCGAACATAAAAATGGGAATATTCCGATGCTGAATCAAAGTCACATGCACTGTTTTGGATTTCCCCCCATTTCAGACACCTTCACAGTCGGTGTTCAGAAAGTGCTTTTTGTCGTTCAACCGGAATCTTCTCCAACTGAAGAAACGGTCGAAAAGAGTCGGAATGATATTCAGCTGCAAGAATCTTGGACCACATCTCCAACTCCATAAAAATGTCACCTCATTCGGTCGATCCGCATTACCAACGGTCGCTTACCATTGGTCTTGCCTGTTCGATCGTCATTCTTATCACCGTCTTCGTCTTTTTTTTTCACAGCCGCCGCTTTTTCTNCCAGAATTGTGGAATTTTGATTTTATTATTATTCTTATTATTAATATTATTGTTAATATTAATAATGGGGTGCGTCCGACCTTATTCTCGTACGCACCTCATTGCACTTAGTTCTTCAGCGCCACTTGCCAATTTTCCCCACCAGCACCACGTCCGCGGTCGTTGGATTTTCCCATTTGGATCGTATTCTTCTTACCCAAAGATGTCTCAGTCTAGTCTAAACGCACTGTCGTCAGGTTTGCATGTCCTTACACATCTGTTTTTTTCTCTCCTGTACTCCGCGGCTTTCACTCTCCCTCATGGATGTTTTGTTTTAAACCTGCTTTCGCCCTGATCAGAGAGTATCGTGTCTCATATGAACTGTTTGGGTACGGACCCTGACTACAATCAGTCTCTCAGCTCTTTATCTAGTCCAGATTTGTGAGCCTGTCACCAAAACGCACAGACACACCGCCCCCCTTCCACTACTACCTGTTCTTGTCCACCACCACTCCCCCCTGCCAGTTTATACCTGTTTCTTGTTGAACGCTTTTCTAATTTTTAAAAGTTACAAACTCACCTCTTTGCACTCCCTTTTGTCACTGTTCGAACGGTCTAGTCTTGTTTTTCTGTGGTCGCCTGTTTTGTGTGCTTCACTTGCTTTCATGTAGTCTTGTTCCACTGTGTGTGTGTGTGTGCGTGCGTTTCTGATTTACCTTTGTTTCGGGCTTCCACTGGTACAGAAATAAATAAATGTCTACAACGCTCATCTAGACTTGGTAATGTAAAGATATCTGTTTTCGGGATCCGCACTTGTTCCAAATGAACAACTATCACATTGGTGTTCTAACGCATTCGACCGATGATGGGAAACGGGAAACTGCGAGTTTGATTGCCGGGGTGCTGCTAACTCCACATGAGCTGATCCCGTTCTGAACTGCAGAGTTTGGATGTTCCTATATGTTTTAATTTTTCTGCTGACAGAATAGAGAGAGAGAGAATTCCTCAATGACCTATCAATAGCAGCCATCAATATGCGGTCGGTTAAAGATGAAGAGATGGGACAAATATGTCCGATATCCTTCAAATACCAGAAAAAAAACGCGGACTGAAGTTGTTTTTGTTTGCTCGGATTAGTGCGGAGAAAGATGAAGATGCACTGTCAGCTCGCATACAGAAGCCTCAATTAGCATTGGCTAGCTTGAGATATCTGTGGTGCCGTCGTGACATCTGGCTGTGCATGAAGGGTCGAGTTCGGCCAGTTCTGCTACAGCGCAGAGGCTTGGGCATTGAGAAACAGGATAAAGATAGACTATCGGTATTTGAATACCGTTATCTAGGCAGCATTGCACGAATCTGGTGTGGCAGCCGGATGAGCAATGTTGAGGTTAGGTGCAGTTTTGGGTAACCGCAGTCGCCCACCGGACCAAGTGGTCGACCTCCATAGATTATGTTGGTTGGGGCATGTGTGACGTTTATCATCAGATAGGTTATCACGGCGCGCGGTGTTTACTGAGGCAGGTAGTGGGTGGAAAAAAGTCAAGGGTGCTAAGACCTGCGCGAGGGTATGAAATCCCTAACAAGAGGACTGGGTCACGTGAGTCCCGTTAGACTCCTCGGAATGATCGTAACCGATTGTTGGAGACACTGATTGTTGTAAACAGTGATGTTTGTGCATCTTGTCAGTTTCTGTGCAATATTAGTCCACCGAGATTCCTCTTTGATCCCACGTTCAGCCTTTCCTGTCTTTCTCTTTATGTTCGTCCAAATGGGCAACCAAAACCGGCGCATGAAGGTGCATGGTTAATGGTTGTACAAACTGAAACTGAGGTTACACTATGAGGGTTGATCCGATTTCAGACTGGAAGAAGAGTGGGGTTACTGGTTGCGAACAGTTGTTGTTGTTGTGGTGGTGGTGGTGGTTTTTCTCACGTATCATTGTCACTTGTTTATCAATAGGGAATGAAGGCTCATACGTGTTGCGCGTCTTTAACGTGTCACTCGGCCGTGAGAAACCCGTGGATTGGTCAGCACACCGGGTTAAACGATATTGGTGACGTGTTTTTTTTTCTGAGAAACTTACACAATGGGATATTTGATATTTTCATTTCGACAGGTTGAAAGTCAACGAAAATTGTTTTTTATCGTGCTCTTAGTATTTACCGAAGTCAATCAAATACCGCGCGTGTAAAGTATTTTCTGATGCGTCCTCATCCTCGTTCCTTAACCTGTTTGTGTCCCATTGCATGTGTGTACCTCGTCGCAACCTTGAACGATGACGTCCATATCCAGCCGCAGTCGCCCAGATTGCTCGGTTCGGCAGATTTGTATTGCTGTCCGCATTGTACCGCCTTATAGAGTATAGAGCATATGTTCGGGATGAGGAGCGGAAAGATCATGCGAGGTTATATCTTTCTTGTCAAGTCCAGTCAAGGAATCGCTTTATACACCCCGAGAGGTGGATATTCAGCAACCACATGACCACAGCGTGTCAATAAAATTGAAAGAAACAACAACATAATACAATAAATTAAAGACGTGAAAACGGATAACCACAGCAGAAACCAATGGCATACCCGGGTGTTTATGATTGATTTAGTTTCGCATTTTGCGCAGATTTCCTGCAACGAGTTCATGGTTTGTTAGAAATCTGGCGAGATAAGGGACAACTTGACTGCCTGTAAGCTTCAGTGCGTGTCTTTATAAGTGTGTGAGTAGAACTGGTGGATGAGTGAGAAAGGCACTGACTAAGGGCGGAACAAAGCGGATGGGAAATATCAGATAAAATCTTATTGGAGAATGTTTTACAGGACTTGACGTGACGTGTCACCACATGCTGTACAAAATGTTCCCGTGGCATGAGCCTACAAACCGACGGAAACTTGGGGGATCGGGAAATATGTTTGAGGTCCTTGTTATAAAGACCAAGGAAGTTCACAGGGGACCAATAAAGCCAGTGGGGTAAAACGCAAACAAAAACAAAACGTCTTATGAGATGGTTTAGGATAGGAGAAAGTGATTTAATACGTAAAACAAAACGTGATCTTCCTGACCTTCAAAAAAACGTCATTAACTTGGTCAGAGCAGGTGAGGTTACGGTTGAAAATGACGCCAAGGTATTTGACAGACGGTTGCAGTTCCATCTGGTCGTTTGTTGAGACCACTCAACTATTTCGGACACGTCTACTTTTAGTGGTTTGAACTGATGAGTTGGGTTAGGGCAATCCGAATATGATATCGTTTGCATACTTGACAAGAAGAGAAGAATTGCTCACAAACAATGTGACGGTTTCCTTCTTGTTTTTCCCCTTCAACGGTCTCCAGTCGATTCTCATCGCTAGTCTTGAAAAAATTGGAAAACACCCGCAAAGTTTCTCGTGACGTTTGCACTTTCTGGATTTGTTTTACATTCTGACTTGACTATTTTCAATACTGGCAGAAAGCATTGTTCTCTCCCCCCTACGCCCAATCAGCTACAGTCTCCGCACGCCTCACTACCTATCACAGGACTAACGGCAAAAACCTTAGCGATGTTTTGGTCTGCTTGACACAGTCCTGATCCAGACTATTGTGAAATATCTGAATATTACATATAGTCAGCAGTTAAAGGGTCAAATTGCTTGGTTAAATAGATGGTTTTGCAGTCCGGTCATAGCCACACGGACGGGGCGAAACGAATTCTTTTGTTACGGGGTCTTGACAACCCTGTAACAAAAGAATTCGTTTGGCAGTGCGCAAGCAAGTGACATACCCAATCAAACACATGACATTCACGGTTGAAAGACCACCGCAAACAGTGTGATAAGATAGGACCAAAAGAGAACCACTATATGCTGAACTGTATTGCTCAACGAACCTGGAAACTATTTGCTCCGAGACCGTTTGTTCTGACCGATTGATCACCCAATGACTGGAGTTTGTTTGAAGCAGGACAGCATCGGTCGTATTATGCACTACTCTATGTGTAGCAGATTGCATTCTAGGTTGATCTGCGCGAACGACTTGGTCACACACTGGTATTTATGGGTGCATGCATACATTTGGTGCTCAAATGTGCGCCCGCGCGTATTGTGTCTATCTAACCTCAGGTTGAACACATTCCGATCGTGGTCCCGGAATGCCAGTCCGTTTGCATTTAACTGCTTCCGTATTTCAGTGAATTATTTTGGGTTGTAGACAAGGTGTTTCAAGGTCATCAGAGCCATATGTACGAACTTAAGTAATCTCAAATCAACCAGAAGATAGGTTCACACAAAATACGTTCCGAGAGAAGACTGGAACACACTGAATGTGTGTTTGGGTGCGTGAACACACATGCAGGCAAATAGTTGATTAGCAAAAGCACACCGAGAGGTTTCCCTCAAACATAATTCGAATAATTCAGGTCAGATGTAACTTCGGTGGCATATCTCTGTACTCCTTGATAATACTTATAATATGCTTATCTTGTTGATGGGTAAACACAATCACCTTTGAATAACATACCACTGTGGAACACTCGGTTGAGAAAGTAGTGGGCAGAAACAATAGTTGTCCTTGCTTAAGTCTTATCCTTGATACCTTTTTCGTTTACGATGCCCCGGCTGTTGTTACGTGCACGGTATCGTACGCAGTACAACGACGAGCGTTTGAAGGAAGGAGCTTGTGCGATTGATGGGCTGTTCCGCCTTCCCTCAGACACGTCTGAGTTTGCTTGTATACTTTGTTCTAATTTT